CAGGCAGAGGCAGTTAGGGGTAATCAGGCCAGCAGGGGAGGGCTGTTGGGGGCGAGATCAGGCCTGCAGGGGAAAGCATTCGGGGGCAACCAGGTTGGCAGGGGAGGGCAGTTGTGGGCGAGATCAGGCTGGCAGGGCAGGGCCATTGTGGGTGAGATCAGGCTGGCTGAGGAGGGCAGTTGGGGTCGAGATCAGGCCAGCAGGGGAGGGCAGTTAAGGGTGATGGCAGGCAGAGGCAGTTGGGGGAAACTAGGTTGGCAGGGGAGAGCAGTGGGGGCAAGATCAGGCCAGCTAGGGAGAGCAGTTGGGGACAACCAGGACAGCAAGAGAGGGCAGTTGGGAGAGAGATCAGGCCTGTAGGGAAGGGCAGTTGGGGGCAACCAGGTCAGCAGGGGAGGGCAGTTGGCAGGATCAGGCCAACAAGGAAGGGCAGTTAGGGGTGATCAGGCAGGCAGAGGCAGTTGAGGGTGAGATCAGGCTGGCAGGGAGGACAGTTGGGGTTGAGATCAGGCCAGCAGGGGAGGGCAGTTAGGGAGGGGTGATCAGGCAGGCAGAGGCAGTTGGGGCAACCAGGTGGGCAGGGGAGAGCAGTTGGAAGTGAGATCACGCTGGCAGGGGAGGGCAGTTAGGGAGGGGTGATCAGGCAGGCAGAGGCAGTTCCGGGCTACTAGGCAGGCAGGCAGGGAAGTGGTTAGGAGGCAGTGGGCCCAGATTGTGAGATGGGTGTCCGACTGCTGGTTTAGGCCCGATACCTGTGGAATCAGGCCTAAACCGGCAGTCAGACATCCCACAAAGGGCCCCTGATTAGAGAGGGTACAGGCTGGGCTGAGGGAACCCCCTCTCCGTGCACAAATTTCATGCACCAGGCCTCTAGTAAAGAGATAAAATCATATTTCACATATTAAATATATACAATTATATTTGTCAAAAAAGAGTTATATCTATTTTTCAACTGCATATTGTTATTTTAAATGCAAGATTTTTTTGTATGTACTATGAAAGTAAATTGATGCTTTCCAGCCAGGTAATAAGAGCTGTACAAACATTACATATTTCAAATATTGTAATAGACATTGTACATTTAGCCACAGGATGGCTGCCCAGGGTAACTATGTATCTATTTATCTATCTGCCTGCCTTCCTGCCTGACTATTCACATGCACACTTGACTGGATTTACAGCAATTTAATATTAGCAGTGGTTACTTGAGTCAGTGAGAAATTTTTCACAGTCTCTTAACAATTTTTAAAACAGCGTGGACTCGGTGTGTGGGTCCGGCTAATAGTGTTTGAATATGTCACTGCACAGGTAAGAATCCCTGTTAGGACCTGGTAGGAATTGCTCTTCTCAGGAAGGGCATGTTTCCTCTCTCAGTGTGGCTTCACCTCCGGAATTCCTGGTTCACATGCAGGACGGAGCTCTAAAGCTTTTAGAGGCCTCTCTCTTACAGGCTTGCTGCAGGATCTCAGCTCCTGGAGGGTTCAGTGGGGACTGCCCTTCGCTCCTTCAATTTGTCCTAGTGTGCAGTGTCCTTTTGGCACTGCTGCTGGTAGCACAACATGCTTTCTGTCATCTAGGTCCCCAGAGCAATGGCAGGAACGTAAATTAACACTAGGTTCTCTGGGTCTATAAAGAAGGAATAATGAAGAAATCCTTTCTGGAGACAGAGAGGGAGAGTGAGAAGACTGTACTCTAAATAGTACAAGAACTAAGATAACTGTCCAATTCCTGTAATATTCAATATGATATTAAACAATCAAATGTTAAACTTTTAGGGAGAAGCATGAGGAATGGTGCTGGGATGATAAACTATTCATTAAGTTGTGTACTCGTGTGTTTAAGAATTTTTATTGTATGATTTACTACATGCCAGGAGACCTTCTACATGGCTGAGTCCATGATAAACAGAATAGGTAATGTTCCTGTCCACTTGTATTCTAGTGGAGGAGACAAACAATAAACATGAACAAACGCGAGGAGAAACAAAGATGGCTGCATAGGTAAACACCGGAAATTGCTGCTTCCCACAACCACTTCAAAAATACAAATAAAAGACAAAACGGACATCATCCAGAAACACAGGAAGGCTGGCTGAGTGGAAATTCTACAACTAGAAGGAAAGAGAAAAGCACACTGAGACTCGGAGGAGATGCAGAAGTAAAGTGCAGAGGTACGGAGGTGCATGTGGGAAAGGGCTGTCAACTGAGGACGCGGTTGTCTTTTTCAATCAGGAGGGAGTCTCAAGCTCCCGACTGCTCTGAACTCCAGTTCTGGGCGAGTCTCTGGAGACCCAGACTCATATGGGGAGAAACTGAACTGTCTGGCATCGGTCGGAACTCAAGGGCGGCTTTCTCTCAAAGGTGCTTGCAGCGCTTACCGGGACACTGAGACCCAGGACCTCTTAGGGCAAGGCTGAGGAGCAGCCATAGCTGTTTGCTCCGCCTTGTTGATTCCCTGAGACTCTGCCCCACTCAAGTTGTGCGCAGAGGCTTTTGCATATGAATGGCCTGACCCTTTGCAATCTGAAAATTACCTAACAAACTGCAGCTGGGCCAGAGAGACCCAGACTTCCAAAAGAAGGTGCAAGACCCCACAGCAGTTTGCATTGGTTCACAGCTGAGCCCCATCTGGGCACCTCCAAATCTCAAACAAAGAAGAGAAATCTGCAGATCTCTCCATAGCTTCTGCTATGTAGCCTCAGGCAGAGGCTAATTTAGCACCTTAGAGATCCAAGAGCCAGTGTACCCAGTGGTCAGAGTGGGACCATCCAGATTACAACGCCTCAGATCCATAAGGGACACACTCAGGGGGCAGACTCAGTGAGCACCAAAGCCCCACTGAAGCAAGTCTTGCCCCAGAAGGGTGTCTTCAGCACAGAAGTTCTCCCACTGCAGACACA